AGCCTTTATTCTCAATTGTTTTAAACCTCCTGAGCTCACTGAACCCCAAGTAGATTCTTGTCAAGCTTTTTTTTTCTACTTAGTATTTAAAACTGTGATACTTAAAGTCAAATTTAATCCAGGCATTTTTTATTTCTAGACAAAGAGATCATTGAAAAATTAATTTAACAGAAACATTTGACATGCAAAAAAGAAAAAAAGCTTTTTAAGCAACTTTTCTTACAAACAGGAAGTTATGTCTTTTCAGAGCTTAAAAGTGAGATCCATCACATGTTAATTTTAGTCTGGAAATCCAAAGTTATGATTTGATTTAGATTTCACTCTTTGTACCTCATCACCCTGGTTAATGGGCATGGAATGTCACTGAAGGCCTGGTTGAGGAACCCTGGTTTTGGGGAGCCACTGTCTCCCCATTTTTCTGTAAGTGAGAAATGTTTTTTCTGTGGGGCCTTTGCTTTGTTAGTTCACTCTGAAACAGAATGAAGTTTCCTCGAGATGGGCAAATTGAAAACCTCCAAAATCTGGCTTAACAGAGCTCTAAGTTTTAAAGACATCAATGTTGTACTTACTAGGAATAAAAAAAAAAAAAATCATTCTTAAACTGAATTTATTTTCCCTAACAAAGCATCCATGTGACAGCTGGACCATCCCCATTTTATGCATACTTTTGGAAAAAAATCTTTTTATTGAGGTACAATATACATATATAATTTACTATCTTAACATTTCAAGTATACAGTTCAGTGATAATAAGCACGTTTCAGTTCTTTTTTTCCCTTTCACCCCGCTTCAAAGTCTCTAGTAACTATGAAACTCCTCTCTATTTTCATGAGATCCACTTTTTTTTTTTTTTTTTTTTTTTCCCCTGAGATGGAGTCTCAGAGTCTCACTCTGTCGCCCAGGCTTGCGTGCAGTGGCCCTATCTCGGCTCACTGCAACCTCTGCCTCCTGGGTTCAAGTGATTCTCCTGCCTCAGCCTCCTGAGTAGATGAGATTACAGGCACCTGCCACTACGCCCAGCTAATTTTTGTATTTTTAGTAGAGACCATGTTGGTTAAACTGACCATGTTGGTCAAACTGGTCTCAAACTCCTGACCTCATTATCTGCCCACCTCGGCCTCCCAAAGTGTTGGGATTACAGGCGTGAGCTACCATGCCCAGCCGAGATCCACTTTTTTAGCTCCCACATATGCATGAGAACATGTAATATGAGTCTTTCTGTGCCTGGCTTATTTCACTTAACATAATGGCCTCCTATTCCATCCATGTTGCTGCAAATGGCAGGATTTCATTCTTTCTTATGGCTAAATAATATTCCATTGTGTATATACCACATATTCTTTATCCATTCATCCATTATTAGACACTAGGTGGATTCCACATCTTGGCTGTTGGAAATAGTGCTACAATGAACATGGGAGGGCATGTCTTCAAGACACTGATTTCATTTCCTCTGGATCTATATCTAGTAGTGGGATTGCTGGAGCTTATGGAAATTCTAATTTTAGTTTGTTGAGGAACCTCCATACTGTTCTCCATAGTGACTGCACTAATTTACATTCCCACCAGCAGTGTAGGAGGGTTCCCCTTTCTCCAATGTGGAGGAGCTCATTTTTGAGACTTAGAGAAAAGTGATAGCATGTACACAAGGGTTGACTAGCATGAATAAGGGCTGAAAACCTCTTATGGGAATTAAAGATTTAACTGAACTTAATTTTAGCTAATGTTTTTACTAGAATTATTTATATATATTTCCTAAAGCTATAAATGTTACAATACATGCTTATATATTCTACAACATATACTATTTATATAACATTTATAATAATACTTGTTAGTAATATGTTACAGTTTTGATCAGATTCTCCATATATTCCTGCTTTAAAACATCCATGGCCTTGAGTCCCTGGGTAGTTGGCATTCAACTATGAGGATGGCAGAGGTTGTACATTCCTGGAGTGGATACACAGCTGTTCTCAGTGCCTCTGTGAAATGATGTTATTTTAGGATGCTAAGGGAAAGCTGAGCCATAAGACTCTTTGTCAAGGGGAAACCGTATATCACGTGTGGTTCCCAGTGTGTGTTCCTAGAGCACCAGAGACACCATCACCTGAGGACTCGTTAGACGTGCACATTCTCAGGCTTCACCCCAAACCCGCTGAATCAGCAACTCCAAGCCTTCCAGGTGATTCTGATACGGCTAAGCTTGAGCCCCTGCGTCAGGGCGGTTGCAGGCATGGGCACAAGTGCCTTGCTGTGGAATGTACCACTGCCCTGTGTCTGCTGTTGGGAACTTGGGCGAGTCGCTTACCCTCTCTGTGCCTCAATTTCCTAATCATGGGGATAATGATGGTGCCTACCTCTCAGGGTTGACGTGAGGGTTAAATAAGTTTCCATGTGGAAAGCACTTAGAACAGTGGCAGGCATGTGGTGGTTTAAGTGTTATCTATTTATGATGATGATGATTGTCATTATCGATTTGAACTTTTATTGCTATCATAACTTCTCTGACTATTTATCACATTGTCTTATTATTGCTATAGTTACTATTTATCTGCATCTTTCCCACTGTGGGCCACTCTGGCTCCATTCTTGTCTATTATTTGCTCATGTATTTCTTTCAACCGGTCAGTAGCTTTCCGGTCATTTCCAGGTTTATTTCTCTGATGGAACAGTGTGTTCCAGCTTGCTGTGGTGGGTTTTTGGATTGTTCATCCTTTTAAGAGCCTCTGTCTTTGATGGAATTTTTTTCCTCGCTCAAGATGGCAATGGGTACTACCCTTCCATTTCCCATTCTCCTTGCTGTGTCCCCAACACTGGAAGTGTAGTTCTCCATATAGCTAAGTACCTTCTGTTTCATTCTGTTTCAGAGTGTGTTTATTTTCTTTCCTTTAACTTCAGAAAACAAATGCTCACAGCATAAGCACTCAGTGACCTCAGATCGTAAATCTTTTACTGGTTTGAAGTAAGAGAAAGTGATACTGACCTCTCCATTCAATAGTTGTAAGAACTTCACTTAGGTAGATATCACCATTCAAAGAATTGCAACCCCAACCCACAAACTGAAACGATATAACAAAAACTGCAGAAATAAACATTACTTCCAGAAATTAAACAGATAATGGTTTATGTGAAATATTGCTTAGCTGGGAGGATTAACCCTTTTCCCATTTGCCTTGAGAATGCTCACTGGCATCGCTTGAGGCTGCAGCATTTACCTGGAGATGATTTTGCTACACAGTATATCTCTTTTATTATTATTTTCATGTCAGTCTAGTATATCAACTTTGGAAACAAAAGACATCATTTTCTTTATAACATTCTGTTTTTAGTAGTGGTATTTTTATTCACCAAATATAGTAATTCTCGATTGCTGAAAATGTCAAATCCTGGAAAACACAGCATTCCTATACATGATGTTAACATCGGTCTCCAACAGTTGTTGGCCAAAGATTCATTTGATGAATCCGATTTTTCTGAAATAGTGGATTCCGATGATTCAGATGATTCTGATGTTAGTTCTGTTTAGAAATAACTCCAAGAACGATTTTTATGTTTTATTTTCACATTGAAAATCAATCAGATTTGCTTCAGCCTGGAAAAGCATGTTTATGTAAAGTTAAATGAGCACCGGTGGCAAGTTGCACTTTTTTTTTTTTTTTAAATGGGAAAAAGATTAAGATAGGGGAAATTAGAAGAGAATATTCTTCTCTCATTCTTTGTGTTTTTATCTTTTGGGAAGCTGTTATTGTTGCTTACCATGTTAGAAGTTAAGCCAGATCTATTGAAAAGTCACTAAGGAAAAATAATCTAAGGCAGTAACATAAAATTATATGAAATAAGAGTATATATCAACAATGATTTAAACTTCATGAAAGAAGTCTGCTGAGGAATACAATTCTGTAAATTAAGAGCCTATGAGGAAGTGCAATTCCTAAAGCCTATGGGTAAAATTTGATTGGCACAAAGAAGATTCTGGGTCTTCATAGAGCACTGACAAAGAGGTCGACTGCCAAACATGCTGTGGCCACACTGGCAGGATCCAGCCTGTAAGAAGCTGCACAGGTTAATTTGGAATATTTCAGCTATAAGAGAGTAATGACTGTAAGTAATTGGTGGATCAGAAGAAACGTAGGAAGTGTAAGTGTGCCTATGTGTGTGTGAGGCATAAAAACATATGGGTGGAGACAGATGGATGACAGATAGATAGAGATGATAGATAATTGATAGGTAATAGATCAATAATTGATAGATGATAGATAATAGGTAGGTAGATATTTAGACCAATAATAAATAGGTAATAGATTGATAGGTGATAGATAATAGATGATAGATTAGATAGATAATTGATAGATTGATAGAAGATAGATAAAGGCAGATAGCTTAGGAAGAATTATTTTCAAAAAGTAGATGCAAAAGAACCTCTTGAATTTAGAGTAGATTACATGAAACTGTGAATGTTTAAGGGGATTTTGTGGCGGACTGACAGGAACCCTGGGCTAGCTTCCAAAGACTTTGGACCTCGTTCTTTCTGCCAGGACCCAGCTGTGTCAAGTGGGATGGTTCTGACAATCTTTTCCACTCTAATGTCCTATGACTCAACAGTAGCAATGCATTTCCACAGGCGGTAAAAATATTCTAGACTCTTCCCTTCCAGCGCTCACTGTTTACTTCCTCTGCATTTCCCCTTCCTGCCTCCCCGTGTGCTGGTCAGTTCATAGCGGGCCTCAATGAGGGTGGGTTAACCCTCTCTTTCCAGGGTGTTTTGCTACGGAGCTCCCTCCAGGGGCTGGGAACTGTGTGGTGAGGGCTGTGGTTGGGGTTCAGCTTCCTTCTTAAATCGTTCCTTGAGCCTTTACCCTATTCTGTGCACTGCGCCAGATATCCAGGGATTGGAAGGTAAATGCCACGGCGTAACTCTTAGAAAATCATCGGGGCTCAGTCTTACTGGGGTACACTTGGTAACCACCTATGAACCCATGTGTCCCTCTTTCTTTCAGGCAGTAGCAGAATCCCATGGTAGCCAGGTGGGTGAAGGGGAGCGAGGACGTTCTACCTGCCTTGAAGAAGACACCTGACCTGCGGAGTGAGTGACCAGGTAGTAGAGGGTTCTGAAGGCATCACACACTTGAGGGAGGGAGGAGGACAGAGAGGGCTATGGCACCCTTTGACTGCTGACTGCCAGCTGCTGTCTTTCCCACTGAGAAATGCTGCCCCCAACACACCCAGAGGCTCTAGGTCTTGTCCTGTGATTTCTGTCCACCAAGCCTTGAGAGGAGGTATGATAGATGCCATTAAGTCCAGCACTAGATACAAAGGACTGCAGCAAAAGTGCTCTCAGCAGAAAGAGGAAACAGGTCCAGTTCATCCCAAGCCTGGCTTGCTGCCCCTTTGAAAGAGAGTTTAAAACAGAAGCTTCATGGTGCTGCCTTCATAAAAACAGAGCCAAGCTTTCCAGAATCTGGCAGAGGGCTGAGTGCCCGCAGGACACTTGTGTATCACTCACACTGGAAAACTTAAGCTTCTGTTTTTACTTCAGTGGATTGAATGGCATGCAGTTTCCTCAGCAGTTTAAAAAAAAAAAAAATGCATGCAGTCACTTGCAGACAGGCTGCATTTGTCTCTGCTGGTGCTCACGTTACAAGCTTGTCTGTGCATTTGGGCATGCCAGCATGGTGTTTCATTTCCAACCTTTACTGTGGTCACTTTCCTCTTCGTTGTACTGAGAAGTGTTGTTGAGGGTATAGTAAGGCCCTAGTTTATCAATTATATCCTGTACTTTTCTTCTAACTTGATCCCAAGAACAGTGGAATTTGCTTCAAGGTAAACAAGTTTTGAATAATTTATGGCCCTTCTTTGCAACAAAAATGAAAATGCAACTTTCTAAGGAAAAATCAATTTCAAGGGGGCATTTAGTAAATAACGCAGTCTTAATAATGTAACAGGAAAATTAAAATGCCCAGCAGACCTTTTGCATCCTGAACAGGTGTTTGCTGCTAATGGATACAGTTTCCATTTCCTTGAAGGGATTTGCCCAGAGGATTACTTTCAAAACTTCTATTGAGATAATACTGCTCTAACAGAAAGAGCATTGCATGAATCTGTATATCAGTTCCTTAACAAAAGGGAAGTTTTTTAATTCTTAAAATACCAATGAGGTGAAGAAAAACATGCCGCCCAGGTAAAGTTACTCTGTCATCACCCGCATTATCTTTTTCAAGGAATGTGGGGGAAATGTATGTCAGTCACCAGGCAGGTACTATAAGACGCTAGAAGCCTCCCAGACAGCTTGTTTCCGGCTGTTAACATGGAGCAGAGCGTTCCCTGGGGCTGAGCATGGAAGCCCAGCACTTCTTATAGGTATGTCTTTCCTACTACAATGTTAGATGCCTACACTTACTGACTTTTTCATTTGCTCTTTAAAATAGATTTCTTCTGCTGGTTCTGCTTAGTTCTACGGAGTAAGGTAGAATTTTGGTGCCATATCTAAATATCATGTCTAAAATGATATTGGAAGCACTTTTCCAAGAATAACCAGCATATTGATCAAGTCATTAATAAAGCCTAATTATTTGCTATAAGAATGTTTTAGGTTGTTTCATAACTGAGTTTTTTCCAAAGTCATAACAAAACTAGGAGAGGTCGTAGATTCTTAATTATTCATTAGATTGGGGGAAAACGAATTGCTATTACAAAGAATATCATGCAAAAAATAGGTTTTAAAAAATGCATTACTACTAACTGAGTTTTAAAAACGTATACTAATATTCTCCATATCAAGAACTGTTTCATGGGTGGTAGATTTTAGTTATAGCAGTACTGGACTAACAGTCAATAATTTTAAATTTTCTATGATTGAGAATACATGGTAGCTGAATATAAGTAAACATATTACTCTGTGAGACATATGCATAAGAGTTTGTTATCACGAAAAACAGCATAACATTATTATTTTGAAATACAAGGCTCTGTTTAAACACTTTACCTTATTTAATGGTAACAAAATCCCTGAGGAATAGGTTGTATTGCCATTTAAAACATTGGAGAGTGGAGGTCCAGAGAGGTTAAATAGCTTTCTCCAGGTCACACAGCTGATGAATTGCAGGGTCAGCATTTAACTCCGGTTTGCCTTTCTGCAAGGTCTCTGCTCCTCACTCTACCCTACTGACCACCTAAGTACAGATCAGTTAATCTTGCCTTCAGAATTCTCCTTTCTTGTGTACTTCCATGTACATTCATACTTACTTCACATGATGATCCTATTTTCTGGAAGTTCCACCATATATGGCGATAATGAAACGTCCTTGTCATTTCTCTAAGTATTTCCAGAGCCTGGCCATGGATGCCATTCACATCGGCATGTCCAGCACCCCCCTGGTGAAGCACACTGCTGGGGCTGGGCTCAAGGCCAACAGACCCCGCGTCATGTCCAAGAGTGGGCACAGCAACGTGAGAATTGACAAAGTGGATGGCATATACCTACTCTACCTGCAAGACCTGTGGACCACAGTTATTGACATGAAGTGGAGATACAAACTCACCCTGTTCGCCGCCACTTTTGTGATGACCTGGTTCCTTTTTGGAGTCATCTACTACGCCATCGCGTTTATTCACGGGGACTTAGAACCTGGTGAGCCTATTTCAAATCATACCCCCTGCATCATGAAAGTGGACTCTCTCACTGGGGCATTTCTCTTTTCCCTGGAATCCCAGACAACCATTGGCTATGGAGTCCGTTCCATCACAGAGGAATGTCCTCATGCCATCTTCCTGTTGGTTGCTCAGTTGGTCATCACGACCTTGATTGAGATCTTCATCACCGGAACCTTCCTGGCCAAAATTGCAAGACCCAAAAAGCGGGCTGAGACCATCAAGTTCAGTCACTGTGCAGTCATCACCAAGCAGAATGGGAAGCTGTGCTTGGTGATTCAGGTAGCCAACATGAGGAAGAGCCTCTTGATTCAGTGCCAGCTCTCTGGCAAGCTCCTGCAGACCCACGTCACCAAGGAGGGGGAGCGGATTCTGCTCAACCAAGCCACTGTCAAATTCCACGTGGACTCCTCCTCTGAGAGCCCCTTCCTGATTCTGCCCATGACCTTCTACCATGTGCTGGATGAGACGAGCCCCCTGAGAGACCTCACACCCCAAAACCTAAAAGAGAAGGAGTTTGAGCTTGTGGTCCTCCTCAATGCCACTGTGGAATCCACCAGCGCTGTCTGCCAGAGCCGAACATCTTATATCCCAGAGGAAATCTACTGGGGTTTTGAGTTTGTGCCTGTGGTATCTCTCTCCAAAAATGGAAAATATGTGGCTGATTTCAGTCAGTTTGAACAGATTCGGAAGAGCCCAGATTGCACCTTTTACTGTGCAGATTCTGAGAAACAGAAACTTGAGGAGAAGTACAGGCAGGAGGATCAGAGGGAAAGAGAACTGAGGACACTTTTATTACAACAGAGCAATGTCTGATCATAGGAGTGCCATCCAGGTTTAACCCTGCAAGCTGTTTCCACATCAGAACTCCCATCAAACACAAAGGTTGCTGTGAAAACGAAAATGTGTAGATGCACTCTCAAAAACTGCACGGACATACAAAATCCATCTTTCCCTTTGATCTTGTGGCTAAACCAGCATTTCTGTGTTTGAGAGATTTCCTTTTAAGTGCTTCGAACGAAAGTGAACTCTCATAATTCAAATTGTATAAAATAAAGCTACATTTCTAAGAGCTTGGTGTAGGGCAATTGGAATAGTGTCCTGTTAGATAAACAGACATTTAGCAATGCTGACATTAAAATGTATTTCTATACAAGATTATTAGCTCTAATACAAGATATTTATTTAACCAATAACCTTATGGCTGAGAGTTGAATTGTGGTTCAGTATTAATTGATCTCACTGCTTTAAAACATGCTGTTTTTGTTCAAGCAGGAAAAATATTATATCTAATGATGTCTAATACCTAAAAAGAGGTAGAGCGACTCTCTATTCACAAAATACAGTAATTTCATTTTTACCTTTCTTCAGTGGACTGAATTGTATGGAAGGAAATCGATCAGATCTGTCATTCACAACTGTGGAAACCTACACAAATGGGGCTGATGCCATTGTTTCCTCTATTTTTTTATTTTATTTTTATGTTTTGGAATTTACTATCCTCTTTCCATTCAAAATGTTTCCATTCAAAATGTGGTTCACAGACCCACCGCGTCAGCACCATCTGAGCGCTTATTCGTAACATGTAGATTCTCAGGCCCCAGCCAGACTTACAGAATTGGGGTGTCTATCTTAACAAGAACCCCAGGTGATTTGTATACAGATAAAAGTTTGAAAGCTCTGCTCTGGACAATGTTTTCAAGGCAACTTTCCGAAGCCATGTGGAAAACTGACTCTGTGGGTCCCGTATCCCCGTGGCATCCAGACCTGGCCCCTCTTCATTTCATTATTGTTGGCCAATATTTCTTTCAGCCATTTCATTTCTTGTCTATTAAAATGCCTTGCCCATAAAGGAACTGCATAGAATTATCCCCTGACATTCCAAGAGCAAAATAAAGCTCTTGAGAGTAATTGCCGTCTCAGTCATGCTTGCTGATTACAGTTAGCACAAAAGAAAAATTCAGCTGCCTGACAATACAGGAAATGTTCTCAGATGCTGAAGTTTGTAAGGTCCGGTGGGGCCATGAGGACGAAGAGGAGCTGAAGGTAAGGAACTCATAAACAAGATGACTCTTTGATGCATGAACAAGATTTGAAAATCTCAAACCTGTAAAGAATACCCCCGCTATTTAAATAAAGCTCATACCAAGAGGTAACATTTTGCCCCAGGCAAAATTCAGGGGTCGAGTGCCCTGCATTCCTTTGAGGCAAAAAATAACTGGTCTATGACTGGTTAAATGTCCAAAAGGTGAATTCTCATTTCATTCAAACAAAGACAGATTTGCACATTCACTCAAGCAGAATGTGGCCATGAATATTCAGTCCCTGAATACGTACAAAGATGTACACGATTCCCGCCACCACACACACATACACTCACACACACGTACACACAGACACACATACGCCCTGGCTCTTCAAGCATAATCATGGTAGTCATCAGTGAAAGACATTTGCGATTAATACGGCAAGTCCTTGACAAATATGTTCATGTCTATTTGGTTCTATAAAAATATGAACATTGGGACTCAGAGAAAATGGGGAAAATAAAGTGGATTCAGATAATCAGTGAAATGATGGCATAGATGACAGTAGATCTGCTATATATTGATGTTACTGCATTTGCAAATGTCCTCCCATTAAACAGAAAATGTGGCTAAAACCCCTGGCCTGGAACTGAACTAGTTTAAGGTGTGTGTAAGGATAATGGGAGTAAAGTTTGTGAAAGTTTAAAGAACAATCTCAATCCATGAACAAGAGGGAGGATGTTGTCTTTAATTATTTAGAAGGTTTTTTTTTCCTTGTCTGTTGATAAATTTATGGAAGGTTGCTTTAGATCTCTATTCCTTAAAAAATATTACGTGGCAGTATAGTTAGATATTATCTCTTTTAGTTATTATACTTGCTATTTTTCTGTATACTGTGGTATAATCAACAAAAAATAATCCCATGGGCATGTTTACACCTTTTCTGTTGCACTATTAAATTCTTTTCACAGTATTTATATCAATGCTAATTTAAATGTGATGCTGATTAAAAATCTTGCTCATTTATATTGTATCTGGTACAAGGACATAGCATAAGATTCAGAAAAAATTTTGTATTGTCATTTAGCGTATCAATTTCAGCCAAATTTGGAAGACTTGATCATCTTACCTTTTGCTCTACACACTCAAAACAAATATTGGAGTAGAAATATCACCTTAAAATATATCTTAATTTACATTTAGATAATATTAAAATCACATTCTATTAAAATTGGAAATTTAATTAAAATAAAAATCAAACAAAATAGTTGTTTCAATTTATCTAAACATCTGGTCTTAAAAGTGCCTTAAGAGTGTCTGGTTTATGGCCGGGCACGGTGGTTCATGCCTGTAATCCCAGCACTTTGGGAGGCCGAGGTGGGCGGATCACGAGGTCAGGAGATCGAGACCATCCTGGCTAATACGGTGAAACCCAGTCTCTACTAAAAATACAAAAAACTTAGCCGGGCGTGGTGGCGGCGCCTGTAGTCCCAGCTACTCGGGAGGCTGAGGCAGGAGAATGGCGGGAACCCAGGAGGCGGAGCTTGCAGTGAGCCGAGATCGCGCCACTGCAGTCCAGCCTGGGCGACAGAGCCAGGCTCCGTCTCAAAAAAACAAAAAGAGTGTCTGGTTTTTAAGAGTGTCTTAAAAACCAATATATGTATAAGTCAACAAATCATATAATATTCAATAAATAGCGCTGAAGTTGTGTCTGGTTTGAAACTTACCATTTTCCTGGGACCTTAACTATTATTACTTTGTACATAATACTTTCATGTTACTATGCTAACAAAGGATTTAGGTAGCAAACTTAATTTATTATATCTGGTCAGTCTTCTGCTTAAAACAGATTCACACTCAACACCCAGCTAAGGAGGAGCCAAAGTAGTGGAGTATTCCTGACCCAAAAAGGCACTTGAATTTTGAAACATTTCTAACGTGTTAGGTTTTCTCAATGAGTCCATTAAAAAACGTGTTCCATTTGAGAAACCACAGAGTCAACAGCAGTAAATCAGTGTGCCCCACAAGACGTGTCTTATTCAGCAATAAAATAGACGGTGTTCACATGGTGCCTGGCAGACAGTGGCTCTGGACAGCAAAACACTGAGTCACCCAACCCTACTCCTTTGGGATGGGGTGGGGAGTCATGCATTGGCTCCCTTTTTCATCCTGGGGAAATTACAACACAAAGCAGAGTGTCTAGAAATCTAAAGAGCTGGTTTAAGGTGAAAAAAATGCCATGAATTAATGAACCAGATATTTAATAAATCAAAACAACTGTTTTGTTGGATTTTTATTTGCATTAAATTTCCCAATTTTTAATAGACTGTGATTTCAATATTATCGAAATGTAAATGAAGATATATTTTTAAGGTGGCATTTCTACTCCAGCATGAAAAAATAGTGTCACTCACACTCTAGTATTATTCTGTCTCCTTTATTTGAGTCTTCAATATATATATACCCCAGCTGGAGGGAGAAGAAGAGAAGAGAAAAATGAAAGCACTAGGGCCTTTGACGAGGTTTGGTTCTGTATGCTGTCAGGATGTTCAAAAGGTCAGACATTTGACCACACGGCACAGTGAAGACTCTTAGGCTCTCAGTTTTGGCTTTCGTTCTTGCTAGACTTTTCTTCGCCTATTAAATTTCTGAAATAACTAGTTTTATCATTGCTTTCCATGATGCAATTTTTTTTAAGTGAAAGGTACTAGCATTTCCAGTGGTGATTTCCAGGTTCTGTGGTGTGCACTCGAAGTCTAGTCTCTGACTGTTAAACTCTGGCTAGGTACAAGATGATCTTAATTTTCTTCCTCTGGGGAAGACTTACTTATACTTGAAGCTCAAAAGCTTAACATTCACTTCTAAATGATTAACTTCATACACTTTATTTACCCTTTGTGAATTTCAATTTATCTTTTTTGTTTTTCTTTTTTTCTTTCTTTTTTTGTTTTTTGAGACGGGGTCTCGCTCTGTTGCCCAGGCTGGAGTGCGGTGGCGCAATCTTGACTCACTGCAAGCTCCGCCTCCCGGGTTCACGCCATTCTTCGCCTCTGCCTCCCGAGTAGCTGGGACTACAGGCACCCGCCACCATGCCCGGCTAAGTTTGTTTTTGTATTTTTAGTAGAAACGGGGTTTCACCGTGTTAACGAGGATGTCTCGATTTCCTCACCTCGTGACCTGCCCGCCTCGGCCTCCCAACGTGTTGGGATTACAGGCGTGAGCCACCGCGTCCGGCCAAACTTCAATTTATCTTTAATCAAAGTGACTTCCAGTCAATCCCTGGACCTGCGGGCAGCAATGAGTGGTTTTCTACTCTCAAAACCAGTGTGACTTCTGAGTAGTAGTAGAGTCTCCAGAGTTGGAATTTGCAATAAAATTACATGATTAGAAATTAATTGGGATTTTAAAGAATAAGGAGTTATTTGCCTTCTTAAGCTACTAGTATTTGTCAGTAAACTATTTTAATTGGTTTTGTTTTGTTTTGTTTTGTTTTGGAAAGGACAAAGCCTTTGTCTTCAGAGCAAGAAGAGGAATTTGTGGACATTCAGATAGCCACATATTGAGGGCAGGAACTTTTACTTTTCAATTGGTATGTTGACAGTGTGTAAAAATAGAAGACCAAGAGAAGGCAGTTGATTGGAGTTGATAGTTAATAGCTAGTAAAAATTACAAGAATGGATGATGGAAGTCAAAGGACAGAACTGATACATGAGTATAAAAGCCAAGGATGTCATGTATGTAGGTCAAGGCTTTGTAATCTGAATATAATGCCTGCGAGCTAGGACTGCCAGGCACTCTCTATGTGCAGAATATATCCTATATGGAGTAATTTTTGATTTGTGTGGACTTTTGAAGATTACCTTAAATGTCTTATACGCAACCTTTTTTCTCCTGTATATTACAAAATTGCCTTGGAAATTAGACAAATATTCAAACTTAACTAAAACTCCTGTCCTGAATAGTTATTTGCCAAATCTGACAAACTTACAAAGAGTGTTCACGTAATCCCAAACTATGCCCACTTCCAGAAGAGAAATACATGCTTCTTTATTTGGAGTTTATGATATTCATACAACTAGTAGTAGAGTCAGGGAGTATTCCAGAAACGTATTTCCCTGGCTTGCCCAATTATCAAGGGAAAATTTCAGCTGAACACAGGGAACCCAGTCAACCCAGTCTTTGACACTCCTGTGTGCAGTGTGGAGCAGCGTGCACTGTCTGAGCCTCCATAGTGAGGAATGGTCTTCCCTGGGGCTTCACCCTAGAAGGATGGGCTCAAAGTCGCCCTCCACGTGGGTGTACAGGAGCCCAGATTCTCAAGCCCCAGTTGCAGAATTAGGCTGATGGTTTTACAAAAGAGTCCTCCTAAAAGTCCATCACCAAGTTTTGTTTGGTTAGCAACCCTTGCCACATGATGTAGTACTTAGCTATAATTTTATCTTTATTCAAGGCCAAATCTTACCTAGTGTCCATGCCCTCCTACCTACTTAAAATTTCTAATTTCACCCTCAAAAATATTTAAGTAAATAAAAGTTAGATCTACTCAAAATTAGACTCCAAGGGAATTACTATCGTTGATTATAGAGTATTTCCTTAAAACAAAAAATCAGAAGTTGTTGACTCTGAGCTAGCAAATGCGTGATCTCTCAGCTGACTGTTACTTTATGCAAATTTACTTAATATTATAGAAAAGTAAAGAGCTTCCAAGAAGGCGATTGGAGGGAAGTTCAAAGGAAAGATTTTTTTCATTCGCTGTAGTTTTAGCTGTATTCTTTCATCTGCAATCAAATCTCAGGATTAAGGATGTCGTATTAAATCAAATCATTACAGGAAGTATGACTGTATCAGCGGCTTTTTACACAAACAAACCTCTAGATCACAAAAGGAAGCCGTGTTTGTGTGCTGACGCGAAGTGTTACATAGCAGCCAGGAGAGGAAGGATAGCAGCCGACTTGGATCCATTTTTGAGGAATGATTTCTGTAAGGTGTCATGGAATAGTAAGTTACAGAAAGGAGGCTTTTGTAAATAGAATCTCCATTCCAGAAAGATGGACTCCAAAATACTACTTAATGAAATTCACGGAAACGTTATGGTAATGGAAATCCCAAATGACGTGCAGATTTTATATGCAAACAAACCCACTACTAGGAACTCCTGGTAGTGTCTACTTACCAAAATCTTGATCACACTTCGGTCTCTTCCTATATATAGAACCACATCTGATCCTTATACAGTGTTGCAATATTTATATCCTTGCTTTCCCATGGTTCTTAAGCGAATCTTAAGCTTGGATTTGCTCCAGCAGAATGGTGGTTCGTGTTTCTCAAGGCTGAGCTACTATTTGGTGCATGTCGGAAATCTCACACTAACTGTGGATACTCTGTCATCACTGAACCCAATCATACAATGACCAGACAGCTTTAAATACCTACTTTTGTATGCTATGAATTCATCCCTTTATTTGTCAAATCCTTTATTTCCATATGTGGCTCTGTCACCTTTTTTTTTCTCTTCCAATAAATGGAATTACTGTAACTTGTGAAACAATGGCAAACACTATAAAGCTAATTTTACAGTCTTGGGTTTCTTTTTGTTTCACTGGAATGGTAATGGTGTTATAGTGGTGCTCTGACAGACAAAAATCTAATATGTCCTTAGAAAGTTCAGAGGTGGACTTACTTGAAATACCTTTTCCAGTGATGGCAATCACAATAATGTGGGATGAATAGGTCCTAAAAACTTATCAAGGTGTTACTATATATCAGTACCTAAAGAAATGTATTTTGCTTCTTTCCAATCACTGAATAGAAAAAGAAATCCCTGCCTCATTGCTCCTTTTTTTTTTTTTTTTTTTTTTTTGAGACAGAGTCTTACTCCATCACTCAGGTTGGAGAGCAGTGGCTCACTGCAATCTCCTCTTCCAGGATTCAAGTGATTCTCCTGCCTCAGCCTCCCAAGTAGCTGGGATTACAGGTGTGTGCCACCACGCCTGGCTAATTTTTTTATTTTTAGTAGAGATAGGGTTTCACCATGTTGGCCAAGTGGGTCTCAAACTCCTAACCTCAAGTGATCCGCCCACCTTAGCCTCCTGAGTAGCTGTGATTACAGGCGTGAGCCAGTGAGCGCAACCTCATCTCTCTTTTTTTGCCTAATGCTCTCCTGCTCCAGAATGATTATCTCATTTTAGTCAATGATTAAAAATCAAGCAACCATTTAATAACAAACATCCTTTCAGCACTGCAACCCTTACCAAAGTGCCTTTTG